GGAGCTGTATGTGTTTAATGCCTGTTCAGCCTGTAGGTGAGTGACCCCAGAGAAAGTTCTCTGTGTAATCAGTCACATAAGGTCACCTGGTCCCTTGACATGTCACTTAATTAGTTTTTTTATGTTCTTAACAATAACAAAGATACATTTTAAAAATGAGGAAAAAGTTAATCTAAGTTTATTTTTAAGGTTGAGATTAGGGTTTTAGCTGCTGTATTATCCAGGCATGTGCTTTTGAATCAAAACATCCACATTAATCATTAATACTTTAGTCAACACAGGATATTTAACAATATTGCTTCCAGTCCTGATTAACTTTGAAAAGACTGCCACACAAACACAGGAGACTGGAAGTGTGTGCTTTTGTATGTTTATGTTTACTTAGTCTATCAGTACCTACAGTATGTGTGGAGGTGGACACACAGGACAGTAACATCTGTCCTTGCCCCTTTTTAATTCTTTTGTCTAGCAGGAGCTTCAGAAAGTAGTATGGGGAAACTAAGTCAGGCAGGTTTGGCAGACACATTTTATATTTACAACTTTGCGTACAAAGTGAGGAGGATGGCCTGGGTTTATTGCACATGTGTTACATTAAGTAGACTGAAAACCATATGAGAGACTTAAATCACCTTCAGAAAGATAGGTACAGAGGCACTCTGATAGTAGGCTGGTGTATGATTGATTAAAAAAACATAAAGAAAATGAAAAGATGCAGAAGAAATGTTTTGTTTTCACAGTCTGAGATATTATTGCTCTAAAGGTTGCCAGAAACTATTTTGATAGGGAAATAATAATTTTTCTAATCTGAATGCTAAGAATTTGATAGCAACAGGCTCACAAATGGTAACTCTGTTGCAATCTTTGAGTTATGCAATGTTGGAGTAAACAAAATATTTTTTGGCAACTTTTTGGTTTTTAATAGACCAAATTAATCTGCAGATTAAATAATGGCAGTATTTAATTGCCCAACAGCCCAAATTATAAGTCTGTGGTCCAGGTTAATAACTCAGCATTATGTAGTCTGTTAGTTGATGTCTGGTTTAATCAGATATTTTCAGAATTTACAAAATTCAAAGTGAACAAATGCTTAGGCTGTCTGTTTAAATGCCACAAGAGCAAATGGTAAAACGGACAGAGAGCTTTGAACCATGAGGACAGAGAAGAAACAAGTTCTTTAGGTAGAAACCATGGAAACCAGACCAAAACAAAGCCTAAGACATTTGTTCTCCTCTGGAGTAGAGTCAGAGGAAGTAAAGAGTCATTGGGTTTAAAACAGTGTTGTCTCGTGGGATGGCAACGGCTACAGTATTAAGTTGACTATATTTCTTCTCCTTAAGGGGTTGTGGGTGTGTCGTCGTCATGTAATAAATTAGATGTTAATGTTTTCAATAAAGCGTGATATTTTTCCCTATTCAACTTTAACATCTGGTGCTCGAGTATGCTTTTTAAAAAGTGGAGGAACTTTAGTTATGTCATGAGTGAACATGTTAAGAATGCTGTAGGTGGCCCCTGGGCCAGCTGATATCAGTGTGTGTGTCATCTGCTCTATAACAGATGAGTTGTGTAGGAGTTGCAAGTTGGAAAACTGTTACAAGTTATAAATGTTGTCATATTTGTTGCATAAAGTGCAAAAAAAAAAGGTACAATCCTTCTTGTATGGGGCGATGTGGTGGAAAACATTTTCAATTTTTTAGTTGGGTGCAATAAGCACACTACCATTTATACACCAAAACGTGCACATATGACTGCGTACACTTGTGCACTGATGTGGTGCTAGTTTCCAGAAATTCAGCTTGTCCTTTGTGAGATTTGATGTTTGTTCCTTTTAGTGGAATGTATACAGATGGTAAGGTGCATATATAAACACGTTTGTGTTTATATACCATGCTTGAGGATCCTCATTGACGTAATGCATTCCTCACTCCACACAAAAAGGACCACATAACTGCAGGACACTCACTTCTCTCAGTCTGCCCATTGAGTCTACCCCCAACCAGCTGAAGCCCAGAGGCACATTCCTCTGCCTTGCTCCCACTGAGATGTAAAGGGGTGTGTATGTGCGTGCGTGCATGCCCGCATGTGTGCATGAGAGACAGGCCTTTCTGAGTAGAGTCTGTCTGATGTATGATTTTTTTTTTTCTTTTTAAATTAAACGATTGATATGGATATTTGAATTAAAAATTAAATGTTTCAATGTATTGGTCAATATTTGTATTCTTTTTCTTTCAAACACATAAACTCCACCGACTCCCCTAACATTTGTCATGTTTAGCTATTTGCTCACTCGGTTATGCTTTGCCCGACTGTTCTTGTCTACCCTGTTGTCGTGTTTGCGATATTGTTGTGTGTCGGGATATTCCAAACACATATTCCATTTGTGTTGCCAACAGGGAAGTTGCAAATATCTGAAAAAGGAAATATTGGAATTTTAAATATCCCAACATGGGTAATAGTTGGACGCTAGCTATGATTACTGATAGTTTTTAGTGCTGCTTCTTTCACGCAAAAGTGAAACAGGTGTTGTGTTTCATGTCCACACTGGTATAGGTAAAAGGGAAACCTAACTGATTTGTTTACATTAGTTTGTAAATAGATTAGAAAAATGCTTAAGGAGTGTGTAAGTTTAACCTTTCTCTGAATCATTTTACTTTACACTCTACTAGTAACTAGAACTCCAATAAGCCTTCTGGAATTCAAGTTACCTTTTACTTAACAAGGAAGGCAGGTCTGACAAGGAAGAATTGTACTAAATGAGAATTTCTTAAGTGTCTGGAGAGTTTCATTTTGTACAAGGAAGTTAAGAACTTAAAAAAAAATCGGTTGTACTAAAAGTAAGGTTACCCACACAGTGTTGACTGTGTTTGTCAGGTGTGTGTTTTCCACAGACATGTAGTTGGAATTGTTAGCTTGTCAAAACATGCATTTCTTTGGAAATCTGACCCCAGATGGTGACTTTGTTGAAGCTGATACAGCGCTATTGCAGAAAGCTGTAATGTTAGCAAAGCAGTTGCGAGGGTTTGGTGTCTGTGTTTACTGTTGAGACTTGTTAACAGACTGATTGTTTGATGGCAAGAGATCACATCCTGTTGAGTCACACTTTAGGTTAATCTGCTGGGGAAAGTTTAACTTCTCCGGAGCTCTGTTAGGTAAACGCGCATAGTCCAAGACATACTGCGATGAGGATGTGTCGCTGTGAACCTCATGTGTTTGTTCAGATGTTTTCCCACAGCCTCTGTAAACCATGAAGGATTCAGATACCAGACTTAATATAGTCTGTTTCTGCAGGCCACTGGGTGGATGTAGACCACAACAGGGTCCAGATTTCACCAGAATAGGCAGTTGTTTCTTTTTCTTAGTTTTTTCCTTATTTAGTCATAAAATGAAACACTTGTGCTCATTATATGCACATGCATTGACCATATTAATCAGACAACATTCATGATCGTGATGAAACCATCACTTCCTAGATATTAGATTTTTACAGCAAAGAAATTGAATTGATATTTTTTAGGGCAGGTTTAAATGAGGTGTGGCAGATGACCCCGCCTTTAGCTATTTGTTGTCGACTCCACTTTAAGTCTTCATTTGTCTCCAGTTGAACACTAACAATGACTGGAGTGAATATTTACTTCTGACTGTAGAAACACATTGAAAAAAGCCTGCCTCATACACGAGAGAGCGTCATGTGTTTGATGCTGTTTGAGTCACTCTGCAGTTTGAATGTTTTGTTGCTTTATTTTCTTCTCTTTACCTCTCAGAGTGATGAGGAATTCTTTGTCTATGCGTGTGATGGGTTTGGCTAAAGTGGCATTTTCTTCTTTTCAGTTCCTCTGACTCTTCAGTTGCTCAGGGGAGGGTGTGGAGCTTCCTTTCCAGTTTTGCCTGTAAATGTTAGTCAGCATTTTAATTGCTGTCTTGTGGATCTTGGAGTGTCTTCTTCCGTTTGGCTAGAGCATGGACAATAAAGCCCAGCACAGATTGTGATCAAAGTTATCTCTTTTGAACAAACTAAGACTTGAGACTCTTGGTGCCAGATAAACTATGCAGGGCACGTTACCATGATTCCCCAGTGCATTGATTGGAGTGGAAAGTTATGTACTAATTTATAAATGCAGCTAGTTCATTTAAAAAGATTATTCATGCAGTCTACCAAGAGCAGAGCAAATTAGTTTTTCCAAAAATGAGCAGACCTGACAAGGTAGTGAGTAAGATGATATAGTGTATGCTCAGGTTTTACACATGTGTTTCTCTCTGGAAACTGTAATTCTGTGCCTAATCTCAGGCATTGTTCTGTCTCTAGAAACTCAGAGTGAGAACGCATTGAGGGACTCATTTAAGGACGGAGCTAATGCTTTAGCACCGAGCTCCGAGCTTTGAGCCATCCATCTTTGTCAATTATGAGCTCATTTTGATAATTTCACTGCCTGACATTCCAAATAAATTACCACTCTTACGGGAAGCTATCACAGTCACATGAGGCTCAAAATGAGACGTGCCCCTAGCACATTTTACTGTAAATTGCACGTTGCAAAATTCACATTTGTATGATTTTAAGTACTGTGGAAAATTTAGAGAATCACCTACCAACACATTTTGTATTAATTATGGCTAGCTGGAAAAATACCTCTGACTACCCCATGACACTGCACCTCTTTAGTTAATCACCAACTGTAGATTTTCAAACAAAAAGGGGGCCTTTGAACTGTAAATGTGGCCCTTAATCTTAACATTGGTCATACTGTGTATTTATTTATTTTTCCCTGTTATATGGGCCATGAAAAATTAAATGTTGGCAATAACCTTCCGCACTGTTGATGTTTTCTGTATAACTAAATGATAAAAATTGGTCTCTCTGGAGACCTGAAACACTTAAATTCACAGGGTTGGTTAATTTTGCTTTGAAAGTCTTTGAGCACAAAAATGGGAGTAAAATGAATTGAAAAAGGTCTGCCATTACTCATGCATGTTTCATTTAACATTGATCTGTTTTCCTTTCACAGGCCAGAAACAAGGAGACAGGAGTTTTGGCTGCTGCCAAAGTGATCGAGACCAAATCTGAGGAAGAGTTGGAAGATTACATAGTCGAGATTGACATCTTGGCTAAATGTGACCACCACTACATTGTCAAGCTGCTTGACGCTTTCTATTATGAGAATAAACTCTGGGTAGGTAATGCTGAAATCTGAATGAGCAAATCAGACTCAAGTTAAAAACCACAGACTTGCTGCCTTCTGGCTCTTTGTTTTATTTTTCTTTGGCTGAACATTGTCAAAGAGGTTAACCACAAACACTGACACACTATCTTTACACATTTTAACATGATCTGGATGGAGAAAAACAAAACAAAGCAATTAGATAAATTAGACCTTTTTCAATGATTTTAGGCTGAAATTAGATTGGTGCATAATGCACTAAAGGAACTTCAGTTGTCTTCCTCTCAAAACCACTCATAACCAGGACCCAAAAAAGCCATGACACACAAACCTCAACAGTCAGTGAAGAGGGTCAAAACAAATATTTTCACTGTGCATGTTGAATGGCTCGTGGGATGTTCCGTTTCACTCTGTGACAACTGTTTTTATTGCAACAGTTTTATCTTGAGTATATTTCTCCTCCATATGCAAGATTTGTTGTAAAAATAGTGATAAGAAGAGTCTATTGCCTAAATAGGAATGACAGAAGAACCCCTGGCTGACATAATGCATCAGAAATGACCCTGATGATACTACAAGAATGAGGATTAATCTCAGCTATTTTTCCCCTGCTCTTGAATCATTTTTTTTCTTCTCACACACACACTGGGTCAGTGTAAACTTTTCAACTCCCTCTGTAATCTCCCACTCTATCTGGCCAAGACAAATGGTGACCTCACGTCGGGGCATGATTTTAAATATTTGAAGAATTACAAGGCAGTGTTAAAGCTAAAGATAAAGATTATTGCGGTTACTAGGAGTGCAAAATGTAGATGTTTAGTTTGGCATGTTTGTGACTCTTCTGTTAGTTATCAGTTAATTATTAAGCATTAGAATTGTAAGCCTTAAATCAAGCATGACAGGACTCGTAAGCTATTAAAATTTAAGTTAACACTTAATGAACTGCTGATCAGTCAAAACTTTACCAGAGGTGTAACGCAACAAAACCAAACTCATGTTTTAATAAAGAATTAATGTACTAAAAATTGCTAATTCACAATGTAATTATGCTTTATTGCATACATGCATTAAACCAACAATGAATTTAGTAGTTGACCTAAATAAAATGTGGAGGGGGTTGAACATTGCCCATGAGTCAAAGCTGGACCCTGTGCAACCGTTAGGTTAGCTTGATAAGTTAAATGTACAAACCTCTCTGCCTGTTACTTTCAGACCACATGTTTCCTGTGTTTTGTGGCTTCAGAGTAACAGGCCTTGTTTGTCATGTGAATTCTGAGCTGTCTCCAGTAACTAATGTGTTTCTCTGTCTAACACATAATTACACTCAGTGTCTTAAAAGTATTGAAAATGTTTTTAAAATGTATGTGAAGTATCTGTGTTAAAGATTGTCACTAAAGTGACAACTGGTTGTCTGTAATTCGTCTTTACAAGAGCACAATCTGGAAAAGTTTCTACACCTCATTGCTGTAAGTGCAACAATTAGCCCAGTAGTTACTGGTGGTCAGGCCTTGGTTACCTCCAATTGGGTGGACTGGGCAGTGTAAGTCAGTGCATTCCAGTGACGACCCACCAGCTCTGCTTTCTACCACAAAGAGAGAAGACAGTGAGAGGCTGTTTGTTCCAATCTGGTCTGGAGGTTAGCAAGGCAGCCTGGCCCACAGCGTGAGAAAAACGGGGCCTTTAACGTGGAGATGGGACTGCTGATGTCAGCACTGAGAAGAACAAACAGGGAGAGGCAAAGAAAGACGCAGGAGAAGAGAGGATTTAAACAGATAGCTAAGAGAATATTTCATATATTTAGCATGTAAAAGTACATTATCCCTTAGTATTAGTCATAGTTAGCTATGCAAATTTTCTTTTTCTTTTTTTCCCTCCTAATGAGCGCTCTATCTCTAAACGGTCTAATACTACAAAAATCTGTGTTACTTAAGGCATGTGTAACTTGGCACTGTCAAATGTGTCAGTGGTCAGAAACTCATGAGGTAGGCTTAAAGTGGGTAATGGGTCAAGTCTTTTTTTTGTGTGTGGACCGGGTGCAGCCTAAATGCCACTACAAGTTTTGCCCATTAAGACAAGCTTATGGCTAGGTTGAGGGAATCAAGATCACCCACAGTCTGTAGGCCTGGATTATATTGAATTTGTAATATTATATATAATCTTAAATAGGTCAACAGTACCTAGTCCTAGATACAGTGAGAAATTGTAAGTGCATTACTCTAGTCAAGCGCTGTACTGTTTGACAAAGAAAGTTGTTTTTTTTGTTTTTTTGTTTTTTTTTACACCACCTTGTCTGCGTTTTTTAAGGTTTAGTTATCCTTGATTGTATAACATTTTTTTTTGCTGGCAAATAGCCTTTTACTTTCCTTTGCCGTCTGTTAAATTGAGGTAAGAAATCACTGTGAAGGTACAGAGTGGCGAACTGGAGGAACACTGCGGTGTCAGCTAAGCCTGCTCCATTTATTTTAAAGCTTTTAGGGGTTTGTAGACTTTGTCAAGTTGCGTCCAGCTGTACTCGGAAGAAAAAGGCACTCATAAATTGTCCTAATGAAGAACACCTAACAACCTAACACTTGAAGATAAAAAATCACCCCTTTAGAGTAAAATGTGAGATATATCTCTAAACAGGGGATGAAATACACTGGCTTATTGTTTAGTTTTTGTTTTTTTTTTAAGTCTCACTCTGACTCAGATACACAGGGACACTGAGTGTACGTGTGTGTTCAGCCCACAGTGGTTATGAATATCATGCAGCTTGACCAGTTGGAGCGCATTCTTTACCCACAGCATCACACGTCATCCAAGATTCTTTCACGCAGCGAGAACAAATCTTTGCTGCAGGCACACTGATGACTACACAAACCAGTTGCTTCTGTCACAGCCGAGTAATGTACTAGCTGTTTAGTTTGGCCAGCGCTTTGTGCTACCACTAAAGTGCAGTTCGTTTAACTTGGAGAGTGGTTTTTAAACAGAAGTGAAAAAAATGGGCAGTGGTGAGCAGGAACAAGGATGTGGTTTGTAATAAAAGGTGTGATTAACCACCCTCTGTAGTGTTGAGAATATGCAAAATAAACAAAATATTTTCAGAGTGTGTATATATACTGATAATATTGATGGGAAGAAACTGCACATCAGTTGGTACACATTTTAAAATAATACATTCTGTTCTTATTTAACTTTTTCAGATCATAATGGTGGAAGGATGCATATCAACAGGAAATGTTAATTTTTGAAGTGTGTGCGAAACTATTTCCTTAATAATCTTCTTACTTGAAGAATAAAATGCTAAACCTGACCTATGTTAGATTTCTACGGAAGCGTAGAGCTGCCACCCAGGCAAAAGAAAAATACAAGTGTATCACGTTATAACGTGAAAAGTTTATTGTTCTAACAAGATACTTTTCCCGTTTGTACAATATACTATCCTGTTTGTACAATATACTTTTCACGTTTGAACAACATAATATCACGTTATTACAATATACATAATTATCACGTTTGTACAATATAAATATTATATTGTACGAACGTGATAATTATGTATATTGTAATAACGTGATATTATGTTCTAATGTGATATTATGTTCAAATGTGAAAGGTATATTGTACAAACATGATAGTATATTGTACAAACATGATAGTATATTGTACAAACAGGAAAAGTATCTTGTTAGAACAATAAACTTTTCACGTTATAACGTGATACACTTGTATTTTTCTTTTGCCTGGGTGGCAGCTCTACGCTTCGGTAGATTTCCGTTTCTTCTTTGTTGATCAAATAGTGGAATCTTAAAACAGGTTTTTAGCTACTGTAAAACAACTTAAACACGTGGTAAAACTTCGATCTAGTTCAAAGATATAAAAGCTGGAAACATGCGTCATACACAGGCCAGACAGTCAGCTGTTTATTTAAAAAAAACTAAAAATCTGATATGAAACTAACTTTTAAACAGACTAAGCAAAATGGAAGATCGCTGATGACACATGGCAGAGCCCAAACTAATGAAGTTTGTCAGCGTGACAGAAGAGCATTGTTCCACCTGGTGTTCAATGCCAAGAATGGCAGTCCTCATATTCTGAATCTCTGCAAAGTATGTGCGCCTTCACGTGACCGCGTGTACACAGAGGTATGCATAGTTTCATACCGTCAGACATGCAATGGTGTGGTTTCACCTTTTGGTATTTGTCATTCATTGTGCGGGTTTGTCTGGGCTGAAACTCCACGCCTTGTCCAGCGCCTGGCTGATGCTTTGACAGTGTTGCCATAGCAAGAAAGACTGATGATTGTTAAAAAAAAAAAAAAGAGATCACACAGCAGGTATGCTTCGTAGTACCAAGAGTTCAAAACATAATTATAGATGAAGTATGTGCTGTGAAAGAAGTTCAATCTTACTATTGTTTTCTAATAGGTGTGTTTGAGAACATGGCTAATAAGACTCCATTTAGGAAACGTCTTCAGTTTTTACCTCCTCCATCTGCCTTTGCTTTTACTTTACTGCTGAACTGATGTGTGTTTGGCAGTTTTTCTCTACAGGTAGTGATGACATAATTTAACAGGAAGGACACACTTCTGATATAAATTTAGATTTTCTGCTTTTATGTGCCACTGAAAATCCTTCATCTTAAAGTATATTGATGTCTCTGCTATCACAGACACATTAAAAGCTTCATCAACAGCTAAGTTCAAACTCATGAAACACAGACTTTCACTGACAGTTTTTCAGCTGTCAGTTTTATTACTTATAATTCCTGGGTTAAGTTTAACATCAGTTTCTCTTCCCCCCCCAGATCATGATTGAGTTCTGCCCTGGAGGCGCTGTGGATGCCGCCATGCTAGGTAGGCCATTCTGTCTCTGTATTTTCATTTAAAAATCTTTTTCCGTTACAACAACAGTTGGTTTCCAAACGTCAGGGAGTGTTTTTATTTTTTTGTCTTTTTTTTTTTAAGTCAAAAGTAGTTCTTAGCTTTCATGACCGTATATGTATTTAAAAATCTCAAATTTATCAGGCAGAAAATCCTGAAAAACAGCATCATACTACAGCCTTATTAATTTGACCTTGAAGCCTTGAAACAGTCAGACATAGTGGAGTCCTCCTGTGTGGGAAATCCCCCTGGTGTTTTCACTGGGTAATCCACATCCTCGTAACTGCCTGCACCCCATCTGCAGCTAACCAAACACAGACAGAGATGAAACGAAGTCTACAGGGCAGGATTATCTTGGATGTGTGAAGGTTTTTCTAATCTGGGATTACTTATCGGGTAATACTATCTGATCTGCTATGGTGGGTTTAGTGTTTTTTTTCTCATGGAGCTCACACGGTAGCTCTGCACTCTTTATTTTGCCATGATTGTATGAATTACAAGGATGCAGTGTTCCGTCTCTGTTGCTCTAACCTCTCCTCCTCTCCTGCCCATATCAGAGTTGGATCGGGGGCTGACGGAGCCACAGATTCAGGTAGTTTGTCGCCAGATGTTGGAGGCGCTAGACTACCTCCATGGATTGAAGATCATCCACAGAGACCTGAAGGCTGGTAACATCCTCCTAATGCTTGATGGTGACATCAAACTGGGTAAGTGTTTCGTTTAATGCATTGATCTTTTTTTTTTTTTATTATAGAGGCATCAAGGTGGACAAAATAATGTTTTGTTTTTGCAACCACATTTGTATGAACAGTCAGAAAACTGCAGTACTGTTTTGAAAACTCAGATTTTATTTGATATTCAGGCATAAAATATAGTACAGACTAATACAAAGTATTGGTTGCTTTTCTTATTTGACTCGAGAGCAGTTTTTTAACCTCTTGAAAACATTTGTGAATTGCAACTGTTGCATTTTACTGCTAAATTAATTATTGTGGGACTAATTCCCAGATTAATGTATCATTCACATTGCTCATTGAAGGTTATTTCTGGGGTCTTGGCTAATCTTTAGGTTCATTGTTTCTTTGACATAAATGCATGCCACACATAACATGCACAGTAAGAGGTCCTGCACTCCTCCTTTGCTGCTGTCAGAGAATCGGAATCACTGTGTGGGAAAACTGTGATCTGAGAACATTGCATATTTTTATTCATTTATTGGCTTTTTGAAGCGTTCCTCACATTCTTCAAATTTTATGGCTGGAAAACAAAAGTTGGATCCATACTCTAGTTTGTTTTAGATTAAAGTGTGGTGTTCTAGTGTAGTGCTTTGTCTAAGTGCCAGATAAGCAAGTGCTGAATTGTCTAAATCAGCGGTCTCCAACCTTTTTTGCGCCACGGACCGGTTTGTGCCCGACAATATTTTCACGGACCGGCCTTTAAGGTGTCGCGGATAAATACAACAAAATAAAACTAGTACCGGTACCGAAAAAAAGAAGATTTAGTCATAACACACGTAAAAAGACCCAGGAAAACAGAGTTAATGAAAAAAACGATAACAAAATGACGCTAAAAACTGATAAAAACCTTGAAAACCATACATTTGACACCCGAGTCTCAACTCTCGCGGCCCGGTACCAAATGACTCACGGACCGGTACCGGTTTGTGGCCTGGGGGTTGGGGACCGCTGCTCTAAATGATTGCATAACATTTAGGATCCTCAGATATGAAACTTTAGATAACTGTTTGTGGCGTGATGTTTTACCTTATTTACTCTGATTGGCTCTCGGATAATTTTTACTGAGCTAAGACAAAAAAAAAGAAAAACTCATATGACACATTTTTGTCAAAAACTGTGCTCATTAAGCTGCATGCCAACAATCTTTCCTGCTTACATTCTTCTCCAGCTCCACCACAGTTGCCTATAATCATTGGGAGTTGCCTCTGTAAACCCATTATGTCATGACATGGACTCATTTACAGTCTTCAAACTTATCTAAATACATGTTAATTCAAACAAGACAGCAATTAAACTATCTTTGAGGTCAGCTAAAATGTCTGATCTTCATGCAGCACTCCTGCAGTTCTTTTTTGGATTAAAAAAGCCTTTAATGACTTTTATGAACTTATTTACAGCAGTTGTGACCAGTGCCAAGAATTGTTGATGATGGCAAAAAAAAAATTGCTCATAATTCCTGTTGCTGTATCCAGGTAACGATAAAAACAAAAGCAAATGAATATTGGATCAGAGGTATCATGCCTTCCTGCTATCATCATGAAGGAAACATTATTTTTAGCCTATACGACTTGCCAATCCGGTTATGCCATGTTATTGTATCCATCGTCTGTCCGTCAATTCACAAGAATCGCTACAACTCCCTACAGTACTGGTCAGAATTTAAAGAGACTTGCTACAGTGATGACCTTCACACAGATTTTTCTCAAACACAACGTCACATTTGTCGTTCTCAGTGGATTTCAATTCAGTTTTTGATGATGATGATAACCTGTGAACAGTGAGGGCTTGTGAGTCAGTGATTACATCTGTCTCCCATCACAATTTTGTAATTTTATTCTCATCAGGAAATCCTTGAGACGTGTCTTTAAAATAGGCTTAGACCCAGAGATCAACTGATTAGAATTTGACGTTTAAAGGTCATTGTGATCTCATGTAACAATTATTTGGGTCATAATAAATTCTAAAGTCAATGGTCTACTTCATTTTGCTATCAAAATGTTATGCAAAGAAAACATTGTTCAGCACTGTAATGGAAAATTACATATTACATATTTTGTCGAATACTAAACTAGTGATGTTAATCTTGGACCCTAATGTAGTAGACATGCGGCAGCGGGAACAAAGGAAAAACTCAGAAATTGGCTTCAAGAGGCAGCAAGCAGCTTCTGACACTAAGACCCTCGAATTTGATGAGTATAAACTCTGACTAATGGGCATAATTGAAGTGGTAAAAGATAAAAGCATAGAGGTTGCCACTAACATTACTTCTGTTCTCCTGCTAAAACCTGCTATTGTGCACTAGTTCTTGGAAGTGTAGAACATAATGAAAGCCCTGTTGTAGGTAATGAACAACTATTTAATCTGTTTTTTGCTGTTTTTACCAAAAATATAGTGTTAACTCTTATTCAATGTAAAATAAAAGGACTGCTTAATTTCAATGTCTCTGAGAAGTAGAAATCATTGCTGCAAAAGTTCAGACTGTTTCAAGTGATGCATTTGACAGTGAAGCCAAAGATTTTGAATTGTAGTCTACAAAACCAAAAGTCATTTAAGAACCCATAATAGAACATGCCAGTTTGTAATTGAAGATGTGACCCTGCTGCCTTGTGTGCAAAAACTAAGCGCTACTGCCAAGCACTTCTCTAACCCCGGCATGGTACACATGATATTCCTTCTGACAGGCGGGAGGAAAAAACTAAAGTGAAAACAAGACCCCTGTAATCTGGAAATCTGGCAACTTTTTTAAGGAAATAAGACTACTATAAATTTACTGTTTCTGGATTTGTAACTCCCAAGATCACACAGTCAGGATGGCTTTACAAGCTAAAAAGTATTTGTCTACCTCATGGGCGTGGTTTTGAGGGGAAAAAAAGCCGGAAGTTTTTGAATTGGTTTCATTCCCTCCTTCTGTGAAATGCTAGTGAACATCTTTCCTCAATCACGTGACTTTTCTTTTCGTTTTTCTTTTTTTCATGCAGCTGACTTTGGTGTGTCTGCAAAAAATACCAAAACGTTACAAAGAAGAGATTCTTTCATTGGAACACCATACTGGTAAGTTTAACGTTTCAGTCAGCAATGCTGGGGTGGGGGGTTGGCTTAGTACGCTACATTCAATGCCTTCAATGACTATATAAATTACACTCTACTTTTTCTAAATCCCATATTATCATATAACAATCCTGGTCTCTGATTGTAACATTATCTGTAAATCTATTACTGTTATGCAAAACAACTATATTAAATGTTTACTTTTAATATAATTCATATACATAGCACTTGTGAAGACATCATCTATGAACTTTAAAATTGGTGGGTCAACCCTTTTTGACTGCTCACAGCACTTAATACCTGAGAGAAAATGATACTGTGCATACACTCAGTATTCATTACAGTTCTTCATTCTTGTTGAATAGTGCTCCTCCAAATTAGAAATGATTCCCAGTGAACCTTGTTCCATTGAGCCTTCCTTTATACCAATATGACAGTTAAACATTTACTAGAACAGGTTATCATTCATCCCCACCATCCCAGCTCAATTAAATCATAACTGTGCACAGTTCTGATCAGATCAGGGGAAAAAACTTCCAAAAATCTAAAATGCTACTTTTTTGACTACACTTAGTCAAAATTTGTATCTTATTTAAATTACATTTATGTATGTGTTATTACTTAATTACATCTTGATGGTTATTTTAGATTCTTTACTTGTTTTTTTTATTCTTTTTTTAACCCATGGGGAGCTGCATGTTTTTAGTAAACAGAGTATTTATGTGCTGAACCATGTGGTGCGTTTGTGGAGGAGTTTGCATGCCACAGTCTTTAATGTTTAACCTTATTTATCTGTCTCAGGATGGCTCCAGAGGTGGTCATGTGTGAGACAATGAAGGATGCACCATATGACTACAAGGCCGACATCTGGTCTTTGGGAATCACTCTGATCGAGCTTGCGCAGATTGAACCCCCACACCACGAGCTCAATCCCATGAGGGTGCTATTAAAGATCGCAAAGTCTGAGCCTCCTAGCCTGGAGCAGCCAAAGAAATGGTGAGAATCTGAATTCAGCTGTTGCACATTTGGCCTGCAACTGTCTAGCATAATATGTACAGGCTGCGAAGAGGAATTTGTTAACCAGAAAGTGGGGAGTTTGAAACCTGCCTCCATGATTCATAAGCTACAAGATAGAAAATGGCAAGTGGAGTCAACGGGGACTTTTATTTCCCTGTCTAGATTTCAACACGTCATTTAATTTCAATCACTTCCAAGTACTTTGCACACTTGGTATACTGTAATCTGCTCTAGACAGTCACGCATCAAATTGTCCTTCCCTTTTTCCACCTGCCAACCATTTTCCAGCAGAGGCTGCACTTAAATGAGTGCCAAACTATAATTTTTTCCTACCTTTTTCTTTAATGAGATTAAATGCGCTGTAGCAGTGAATTTATTACTGGGAAAGTGAAGTTATCAGGTAGAGGGAGATTTAGAAAGGGCCGCTGATTCATTGTTCCTGCTGAGACCTTTTTTTTTCCCTTTTTTTTTTTTCCGCACAACAAAGCTGCGTACAAAGATGGTCTAAAATGGTTGGAAATGTTACTTAAAATTATTTTTTTGTTTTAACTGTTTCTTCACTTCTTCACTTCACTTCTTCTTTTCTCTTTTATTTACTCAAGGTCACAGGCATTTAATGACTTCCTGCGGAAATGTTTGGATAAAAACCCAGAGACTCGCCCAACTGCAGCTCAAATGTTGGAGGTAGGCTTGATGCTGTGTGTAACTGAATAGTAGTGAATATTATACAGTGCTGCACTTTGACATACAATGGAACATCGTACTCTGTCTTTGTCTTGTACTGACACACACACGCACACAGATCAGTTTAATCTTCTATTTTAAGACCTGAACACAGTGATCTGTGCCAGGTTGGTGTTCCATGGCGGGCATAGGCATGCAGGTGAAAATGAAACGCTTTATAAGAAATTGATAGTGTAAAAGTGAAAGATTATTAGGTAGAAAATGTGCAGTAGCCAAAATCTAATGGTAAAGGATCCTGAATAAAGACACTATCATAAACTATCCTTGAAGGTTTAGATGGGAAGGACAAAAGAAATAAGAAGCTTTGGCCTCTTCGCTAATGCCCCCACCCCACCCTACCCTCAAAAAAATATTACCCTACAAAAATGTTTTCGACATTATTCTCAGAAACAGAATTCAGATTCTGACCATATTTTGTATCGTCAGCTTATTTGATGCCTTTATAGACTTCACTATACATATGATCCTGGGCAGACATGGTTCTAAGCAGCTGTTTGTTTGATTGTTAAAGGCATCATCATATGGTAATTCTAAGTTGTGGCAATGAAATGCAAATATCTAAAGACAAGCTTCAATCAGACTCTAGATTTCAGAGCCAGTAGAACGAGCAAAGCCATGAGCAGGGTGTGGATTACAGAACAAGAGCAATGTCTATTAAAATTCAGAGCCACAGTTTCCTGTCTGCATCCCATAGCTGAGGAGCTGCCAGCTATTTACATTCCTGCTCTCAGCCAATGGTGTGCCAGGATTAACTTGAGTTTGCCACCTTTGGCCAATTAGAGCAAGGCAAAGATGGAAACCCTAGTCAGGCCTGCAGGGAATTCTCCATGTGTTCTCTAGTGGGGAGGGAAAGAGACAGGCGCGGCCCAGTTTTTGGTGCTGTGCTGCAAGTTTTAGATGTTTTTCATGTCCGCTGCCTCCTAACAGCTGTAGGCACTTGTGGGCGTGGTCAGATTGAGGCTTTGTGATGGATGTTGCATCATGGCACTTTGCCGGGAGTTACCATCAGTTTATGTTACAGGTTTCAGGGTGAAGTGAGCAGATGTGGAAAAATACAGGTGAATAAAAAAAGTCAGAAAAAATATCCCTGGTGCAGGATAGACTAAATAAGGGATATAAAAATAAAGCTTTGCAAAGTCTTTGTCACTAAGCTTTTCACAGGAAACAAGAATTGGTTATAAACATCTTTTTAACCTCTTCCCTTTTTTTGCCATAATTACTCTGCGTCTGTCCCACATATGCGGCTGTAAGGAATGTATACAAAAAAACATGACACAGTATCAGTCACTGTGGGTGTGTGGCTGGCCGGGAGACCGTCTGGATGACTAGTATTATATTGAATCCAGCGTCTCCTCCCATAGTTTCTCATGTGCAGGGTTTTTATGGTGTTTTTGGCAGAGCTGCCCTGGAAAGCATATAAACATTTCTGAAGTAGAACAATGTAGCACATTTTGAACTTTGAGTTAATCTTGGTTGTCTAAATTTAATAGAGTATATCATAAACAAAAGTGTAATCTTCTAATTCTGCAAACAACTTCTTTGAGACAGAAATCTGTCCTAAATTACTAAATTTGGGTTAATAAAAGTCAAGTCAGCTGAGTACCAAAATTGCACCTTGCCCAGTAAAATTCTTACCCCTAACTTAACTTTTTAAAGTCCTAACCCTAAAAATGGTCTTAACTGCCACATCCACCTTCAAAAATGAAGATTTTATAACTAGTTAAAGAATTTCCATCATTCAAGATCTACAACTGTCCATAAAGATGGAGGGACAAAAGCATACACTTTATTTTTATTCCTGTGCATGTACACCTGACCTTTTTGCAGGTTTCTCTTCTAGTCACCTAATGGTCCATATTGTGCACATTTAATCTTTATACAAAGCCATGCGCACCAAATCTCCCCCCTCTCTCAGTCTAAAGCAATGCGAAACCTATAAAATGGTGCATTTATCCACTGATACACATCTATATCTGTGTAACAAGGCACCAGTGCTAACACTTAGTCTTTTTGCCCTGTGTTTTGCCTCAGTGAGGATGTGTTTACCTGGAGTATGGGAGGTCTGGTATAATTTATTGGATTATACAGCTTAAAGCAGATTTCTCAGAGGTTTACTGCTGTAGGTGCTTGACGCTACTAGTTACTCCTACTTTTTTAGTTACTAGCTACTCATACTCATCCCTCACATAATTTCAATGGCAATGGGAGAAAAATATCTTTTATAATCTTCAGTAGGCATTCAAATGAAATAAAGCGCTTTACTAAAGCAACAATGATTAGATAATTAACATAATTGAATTTATTTCAAGTCATTTTTATGGCTTTATAAGTTACTTTTGATTTTCTTAACATTTGAGAAACATTTTTAAATCAGAAATTTTGGATTTTAGTTAAAGCAGTTGATATAAAGATGTTTTGATATTTCTGTGGGTTTCATGAATTTGTAACTGGACATTTCTCATAGTTCTCTAATTTAATTAGAAAGCAACAACCATGAGTTGATTATGAAACTAGTTGCCAGTTCCCAGCCTTAAATACCTTGCTGGATGTGTAACATGTTAAAGAATAAGATGCCTTATTTTCTGTCAGAATTGGAGTACTTCTAATGTAGTGCTTCTCACATTAAAACTCTTTTCTCCAATGTTTCACCTTGCTTAGGCTTAATGTAAATCTAAAACATGTCTGAAATTTTATTTCCAAAAAGTCTCTCTCTGCAATTTTCGAATTGAGATGGTGGAAATAGAAGTTGAGTTTATTTTAGCTCCTTTTACTTTTAAACGTGGATTTATTGCAACACTGCCTCTACCGAGCATGACAAACTGAAGTATTATTGAAGCATTCACTGCCACTGCCACACTGTTCATGTGACTTGTTTACGCCACAGGTTTACATGGCTTTAAGATAAATCTGTTGGCTGATTACAGAGGAAGTGGCTGTGTGGTTGCTGAAATCGGAGCCATTTCAGTTGAAGTTTGTCTTTAATTAAATGGCATTGCTGCATCAGTCATGTTGATGTTCTTCTTACAAAAATCACTAAATCAAAAAGGGCTGGCTGTGCAGCAATAGTTTGAGATTTAAAACTCTATCTTATGTTGCTCATGTTGTCAATTGATGCCATAAAATGGGCTGACATAGAAAAAATCATGACATCCAAATGTAGACACTATGCATTTAAGCATACAACTTATCCATGCATTCATATTTTGCCTCACAAATAGTCAAATGGCACTCGTTTGTGTACATCTCATTAGGCAATAGCTGACTGTTATTTGTCATTGGAGAAGCTTAAAACTCAAGCCTAATGCTGTCCTCAAGGACAAGCAAGCTCCTGAACCTACAACTGTGGAGGGCTCACAACACACACTGACTTCTACACACTTCATGGTCCAGCACCCCTTGCAGACTTTTCCCCTTTGTCAGCTGTTCCAGTTAAATTACACAGGAGTGCAAAGCATCTAAATAATAGATGATCAGCTTTTTATCCTTGCAGCACTCAACTTTTAATTTGCCTTTTTTATATTCCTGTTACAGTGTTCTTATTGCCTTACTTGAAGCACGGGGGAAACATGCATTTTCTTTTTAGATATAGTAGAGTTGAAGACGGGTTGCTATTTTAGGTGCATTCTGTTAGAATAAACTGTTGCCTCAAGTGGAGAGTTGTATTGTGATGTTCCCATTGTTAATGCTGCACAGGAACTGGCAGGTGTCAGATAGTTTCCCAGCAGTGAAAGTATGTTGTCTTGTCTTCTCCTCCGTTTTTTTACCTCCGTTTAGTGTATCGTTTTTTAAGCCCAGAATTTTATTTCTCTTGATCCATCATTTTGTATTTTAAAGTTTTACAGATTATTTGAAAAGAAATTGATATCATTGAAAGTTGAGAGGTTGCAGAATGCTGCAACATTCATCAGTGGTGTCATCTGCTAATTATTTAAACCTGTGGAAAATACTGTTCTTGTGTTTTGTGCAAATATTGCTTCATGGTTGTAAGCCTTTTAGTCAGCCTCACTCTTAGGCAATAACTAAATGTGTAGTGTTTATAGTGTTTAGTGTTTATCCCTAAAATAAATTTCTGATCAGCCTTAATAACTGTCTCTTCTATCTACAGCACCCTTTTGTGAAATCGGTGACGACCAACCGTCCGCTGAGAGAGCTGGTGGCTGAGGTCAAGGCTGAAGTCATGGAGGAAATCGAAGACAATAGAGAGGAAGGAGAGGAAGACGAGGGCATGGACCTTACTGTGGTACCAAACCTGTTCATTATCATTGTCCTTTTTATTTTGGTGTTTCGAAAACAAGAGTGGGCAGTCCATGCTCTTCCATTCAATTGGTTTAATTTATAGGTTAATTTATTAATGTTGTGATTTAAATTAAAAACATAATAATGGCACAGAAAGTGGATGCATTTTGACGTAGAAGTGGTATTGACTTTACAAGTAAATGCATTTCTGTGACGTTTCTCATTTTCCTGTCAGACCACACAGTGAGATGGAAATTACCCTTAATTTCAGTGTCCAGACTGTGTAATTAAGTTGCAACTTGCACACATAATGACAAAAAGGCGTGCATTTACCTGCATGTGTTCCCAGCACGTAGGTTTCTTCTTAACCACAGAGCCTCACGTTTGTAGTCCTGACTCGTTGACCTCCTCTTAAAGCATATTTTGCTAAATATAGCCTTTCTGCAGAAGGATTGATGGTTTATTCCACTGAAGTCATTCATGAATTCACAAAGAACTGGAGATTAGACAGTAACATAGGATGAAAGTGCAGTTTGCTGCCTGCCCTGAGCACAAACAAAGGAACAGAAGACGGAACACAGGCATTCACCCACACCCGCACATGGTTAAATATAGGTGCTGCTTTTGGCCTGTAGAAACAGCTATTGCCTCATAATCCCTAAAGGAGTAAATTATTTTAGGTTGCTTATTGTTCAGCCAAGATACTCTGACCCTTTATCAAAAACATGGGGATTTCTACATAGCAATAGCAGGTCTTTATAGGATCCTTGAAATACTCTTACAAATGCTGTAATCAGACAAATGTTTTCATACATTTTTGTCCTTTCTCTATGAAGACAAATGGCCTTTTACATTGTACTTCCTTATTGTACATGTTGTGGCATTCAAGGGTCTTTTTTTATTTTATTTGGGTGACTCTAGTATACTGATGGTGCAAATTGGTGGAAAATGGTGGAAATTTATAAACTGCCAGCTTTTAAGCATTAAACAGTAAACACTCTCATCTAGACAATTGAACAGTGTAGGTCTTAGCTGGACAGGTATTTGGAATAGCTTTCTGTAGGAGGTCTTCTTTATGCACCTTGTTGTACATTAATCACTGAAAGGAACGTTATTATTTAAAAGCAGGTGTGATGAATCAGTTATCTTTATATAAAGTAACCACCGTACTTTCTGGACAATAGAGCGCACCTGTATTTAAGCCGCATCCGCTCTATTTTTAAAAAATTTAAAAAAAAAAGATATACAAGCTGCACCCAGCTATAAGCCGCAGATATCTATGATGAAAAATTAGATATTTACTGCATGTACAGAACAATCTTGTACTGTAAATGTACATGTATGTACCTGAACAGATTCTTTCCGAACAATGCCTTTTAACACGGCAGCAACTTTGCTAATTAAAACGGAACAGAACCAAGAGAAAATAACCGCTATTTATTTACCTCCATTTTTCCTGTATTTGAAACCACAAGTCACTTTAATCATCTTCGCTGAAACCCATGAAGTCGTCTTTTTCAGTGTCGGAGTTGAACAGGCTCAGAAGCGCTTCATCACATCTGTCTCCATCAGTCTCGCTCTCCGTGTCACTGTCATCCTCCGGTGAAGTTGGCTCTCTAACTTGCATCATACGAACTTCTTCGTGTGGTTTCCATGATGAAGGGGCGAGGATTTGAAAATAATTACCAGTTGGTAATTTGTTGTGCGTGTTCTATCTGCTAAAGAAAAAGTAGCGTATTCTTCTCTGCATTGATTTTTCATCTATCTTGTTTTTTTATTCTAATTCTGGTTAGAGTCCCCCTAGTGGTGGAAGAAAAATCCACAGAATAGCCGCACCTTTGTATAAGCCTCATGGCTCAAAACCTAGGAAAAAAGTAGCGGCTTATAGTCCAGGAAGTACGGTAATCAATGAACTGTGTGACCACCCTTTAAAATGCTGCCAAAGTACACTGGTCCACATTTCATGGTACTTGAATAAGATGGTTTGCATAAAATCTTACTTTGTGTTATTATTTCTCTGTGTATGACACCAGAAAACCATTAGTTATTTTATTATCTCTTTTTAGAAAGCACAAATAAAGCTCCCTCTCATTTGCAGGCAGCAACATTTTCACACATACAGTAACAAATTGCTGACTTCGAAACAAGCAGTAACCAGACAGTTTCTCTTTTTCTATATATATCTCACAAAGTGAGAAAGTGATGTTTGCTGAGACATTGGTGAAGCTGTGAATCATCAAGACAGGTTTTTGTTTTGTTTTTTTTTACCTGAGGGAGAAGAGACTGTTCCTGATACAGAGCTGCTGATTAGAGATGTGCACATATGTAGAATTCTTGTCTCACATGTCTGAGATATGACTGTGCAGTTATACATAGTTGTGCAATATCTTCTTTTTGCACATAAACATTACGTTATTTCTGGTTAATGTTTAGAGTGTTGCATGACAATTTTCTTTTTAAAAAAAATAATTTATATCATTTAAATGATTGGCTTTTTTGTTTGTTTGTTTTTTGCTTTCTTTGAGCTGCATAATCAGTTAATTCTTTCCTAGTCTGATTTGATAGGGTGCTTCTGAGATGTGATTCCCTTACCTGTATACATGCTAACTGCAGTAATATAATTTATCCAAGATTGTTAGTCTTGGGCTTTGGTTTTGCAGCATATTTGCAGGTGTTTCACATACTTTTGACACTGTAAAGTGCAGCTTTGTCTGCATAATAAAATACATTTAACGCACTACTGTATGCAAAAATGAAAGAGTGCACACTGATTTATTTCGCATCAAGACTTTTCATAATAGCAATGATAATGCCATTAACTCTCAGGTCCTGGCAGTCTGTCCTGACTTATGCAGGTTTTTCACCTCTGTAATTATTACCTCGCCATTGCAGATTAGATAGCTATCTAAGCTAAGCCATAATTAAAAGTAGCAATGTGCAAGTATAAAACAGGAATGACTGCATTCATACTAAAGCAAAGATTAAAGTTCCTTAGCAAAAAGGTGGACGGCCTAAATGTTTTTTTTTTCCCCATTAGTGTTTGGACCAGAAGCAAAGGTTGAAAACATTAACATTTTGGAGACCACCCATGACTGAATGTCTTACGAACATGAAATGTTTTGTCACACCAGTGCCTAACAGCACTTCTCTGTTCCTTTAGTCCTCAGCCAAGGAGCCATGCCAGACTAGTCAGACCAGTTTGGAAGGTGACCAGCCCCCGGACACCCCAAGCCCTACCACACCTTCTTCACCTGCACCAGTACCATTCCCCAGGAAGCTGAACCAGCCAGATACATCAACAGAGGAAGAGCCAGGCTCCACCATGGCAGGCCCTGTACCCCTGCCACGGCAGAATCTCCATAAGAAAGATCCAGATGAGGTGGGAGACAAAATGGGTGAAATCCTTGAGAAATCCGAGTCTGAGAAATCTGAGAGTGAGTCCTCAACCAAGACTACCTTCTCAGACTCTGGTATTGAGGATGGGAAGAGTACACCCTCACTTGAGGAGGAAAAGGTATTTTTTTGAAAGTTGTTCTGCTCATGTATATTTATGAAGTTGGATAATTTATTTATTTATAGTATTAATACTAAAATCATTGTTCTAGGTTGCCGGAGACACCCCAGAGACAGAACAGCCACCATCTCTCTTTGATATGGAACGTGAGGAATCTGAGGACCGTACGATAAACTTCACGGGTTCAACAGAACCAGAGGTCCCCAAGATCCCAGCTAATGGAGAATTGCCAACTTCAAGTGGTGTTTCGATTCCTGTACCTTCGCCTGCATCCTCCTCTGCTCCCACCCAGGTAGCAAACGGCAGCCTAATAGAGGATTCCCCTGAGAAGAAACCAATGGGAGCAAACGCTGACCCTGGTTCATCTTATCTCAATGGAGGGATTATTGAGCGGTTGTCCTATTCAGGCAGCATGGCATCTGAGAGCATGGATTTGTCTGTCCACAGGGAGAACACATCCATTAGTGCACGGGTGAGCCAACACAGATCAAAGCTTTCTGTACTTAAAGGAATTCACATGATTCATTTACTCAAACTTTTTAAAATGCCAGAAAGGAATGGTCAGAGAAGATAGATCCCTCATTCTCTAAAGTGTTTTTGCAGAACATATCTTTATGGCAAAACCAGTGCTCAAGTGTTAAAGATGTACAGAGGGCAGCTCTGTAGGAAAACCCCTCTTGGGGGGAAAAAAAAGAAGTGTTTCTTTGCACTCATAGCGGAACTGAAACAGCATTGTGTTGTTTTAGGGTGTGGGAGTTCGAAACAGAATATTGCCTGTCTCCCATTAGGTTTGCACGCACATTGCACTTAGGGAAACCCAAAGTTTTACATTCATGAGGACTTAAGTAACTTTTTTTATTGACTGTGAGGTTTGCTGGGATTTATTTCTCAAGTTTGGACTGAATTGGTTACAAAGCATATTGGGGCATCTCCAAAATGACTATTTATTTGATTTACCAGCTTGAAAAAGGATATTTTTGCAAACCCACTTAGGACAGGTTATCTCTGCTTAAGAATCACCAAATCCATGTCTGACAGTCCTTGTAAGCGAGACGATTGGGAAGCTAGACGTTGGGAAAGAGAAGCCAAATATGCAACACTTTCAGTTCATCTAGACCAGTGGTGGCCTTTGTGTGGGCACAGTTCAGCATTCACTATTGTGAGTGGAAATTTCTATGCAGCCCATTGTCAGTGAGTTGCTTCTGGAGGCTTATGGACTGACCATGATTAAAATCCTATTAACTGGGCGTGGAGTCATGGCTGTTCGACATGTCAGGTTTTTTTTTTAAATTATAGATTATTTACCAGGCGAGTCTGCCTGTAAGCTTTTTTTTCTTTTTATTATTTTCTTGGGTTTTTTTTTTTTGTTTTTTAATATGATTTCTATGTTTCCGCATGAGAGAATGAGTGCAAACATCAGTGTGCACATGCACTTATAAATCCATGGGGTGTGTGTGAGAGCTACATGTGTTTTTTTTTCTTTTGTTTGTTTGCTCTTTGTGTTTTTGTGTGAATGAAGAGTGACAGGGAGTCAGCACAGTCACAGATGACCTCAAACATAAACGCCACAGCTGAACTGCAGAGTGATGAATATATATATCTTTTCATCTTGGTGTCAATGTGCGCTTAATAACACACCAGAACACACAAGCACATAGACTTATTGTCATCGTCAGTGTGTCCGTTACACAGAAAATGATTCAACAGCACTCAGCAGTGCGACATTAGCATCCGGTAGCTGCCAGCTATGACAGGAGCCTCGCACAGATTCATATGGAGCGTGTTTGCTTAGCTGTATTGGCTTCATGGGGAAGCTTTGTTATGGTGAACAGCAGTTTGTGCAAACCAAAATAATTCCCTCTGAGTGGGGAACACCTTCCTAGGGTCCTTCTGTTCTAATATATTTACTCTTTTTTTCTTTTTTAAAATCTTCAGCCAAATGTTTTGTTTTCTTCGAACAAAATGGAGAAAAGACCAGAAATAAGCCGACAAGTACAAAAAAACCCCAAACTGCTCGCCTACATCTAAGACAAGTACTTCAAACAAGACATCCATAACTGCAAGAAAGTCCCTGTTACATTAAAAGATAAAACAAACTTAATTGTTTACATAAAATAATTCTGATTTACTTTTTGTAATAAAATCATTCTTTTTTTTTAAATTTTATTTCAAGGCAGATCTGTATCATTCTCTCAAGAGGAAGAGTTGAGATAACTTCTTATTCACTGTGTAACATTGAAAGCAAAACTGTCATTAGCTTTTTGTTTTAGTTTTGTATTCATTTTTATTTTAATTGAAGCACAAATAACTTTGAGAGTATTGGGATTTTCTCTTACTGTCTTCATACCTTCTGTCTTGCGTTCACACTCTCTTTAGTTCTCTGGTCTCATCTCCTCTTCATTATATATGAACTATTTATACACCAGGAAGTGACGACATTCAGAACTTCCCAGTGTTTGCTGAGTAAACCCTGTCATATCATTTTGCAAATATTGTCCCTGGAGGATGACTTGGACAGGGGACAAAGAAGGCGTAACTCCTCAGTTACACATGCTCCAGTTAACCGTGACAGTTTTGCATTGCAATTACAATACGCTATGGCTCATGCACTGACTGAAAGGAAATGTGTGTTTACATCATCGCACATTGTTTGGTTGAACTGCCTGATTTGTGCTTTTTGAGCTAGAGCAAACTTGAAGAAACCTTCGTTGGCTAAGAAAAAGGTCATCTGCTCTGTGGGCGAATGTCTAGAAATGTCCTTTCAGACAATGTGAAGACCCACAAGTCTGGATAAAGAAGGCCTTTAACCAGTATTCTTGTTGAAGAAGGTTGAGAAGTCAAGTCACATGGTGCCACATTTGGTATACGATGTTGTTACTACCTCCATGACGCTCTCCATTATGCTAACAGATCAGCATCTTGCTTCTTGTTACAGTAGAACCTGCCTTACAGGATATTAGTGCCATGTAAACATACACACTGTCATACATACTTACTCAGCCTCTCCTTTAACAGATAAAGACTACACTACAGATAAACCTTGACACATTTGAAATATTTGAAGTTAATTTGTAGGAATTTGCATGAAAATAGTTTCCGTGAGTGATCTGAAGATTTTTTTTT